GCAGGGATGAAGTCAGGAAGGCCAAATTGCAATTGGAATTGCAGCTAGCAAGGGGCATGAAGGGTAACAAGAAGGGTTTATACAAGTATATTAGCAACAAGACGAAGGTCAGGGAAAGTGTAGATCCCTTATTAAATGGGGGTGGCAACCTAGTGACAGATAATGAGGAAAAGGCTCAATGCCTTTTTTACCTCGGTCTTCACAAGCAAGGTCAGCTCCCAGACTACTGCACTGGGCAGCACAGTCTGGGGAAAAGGTAAGCAGCCCTCAGTGGTAAAATAACAGGTTAGCAACTATTTAGAAAAGCTGGACATGTACAAGTCCATGGCGCTGGATGCAGTCCATCCGAGGGTGAAGAGGGAGTTGGCCAATGTGACTTCAGAGCCTCTGGCCATTATCTTTGAAATCTCATGGCAACCGGGGGAGTTCCTAGATGACTGGAAAAGGGAAAGTATAGTGCTCATCTTTAAGAACGGGAAGAAGGAGGATCCAGAGAACTACAGACTAGTCAGACTCACCTCAGTCCCTAGAAAAATCATGGACCAGGTCCTCAAGGAATCCATTTCTAAGCATTTGAAGGAGAAGAAAGTGATCAGGAACAGTCAGCATGGATTCACCAAGGGCAAGTCATGCCTGACCAACCTGATTGTCTTCTGTGATGAGATAACTGGCTCTGTGAATGTGGGGAAAGCAGTGGATGTGATATACCTTGACTTTAGCAAGGCTTTTATTACAGTCTTCCACCTCATTCTTTCAAGTTAAGGAAGTATGGGGTGGATGAATGGGTGAAGAGATGTAGGCTCTGTAGAAATCAGTTAACCCCTGATACCCATCTTGAACATTTATAATGTATATATCTATACCTATAAGCCAGTTCCCCCCAAAAAGACCTTTAAATACTGTTTCTAAGCCAACAGCTGAGGGAACTGGGTTTATTTCGTTTGGAGAAAAGAAGACTGGAAGGGGATTCGATAGCAGCCTTTGACTGCCTGAAGTGTGGTTCCAGAGATGATGGAGCTAAACTGTTCTCAGTGGTGACAGATGACAGAACAAGGAGCAATGGTCTTAAGTTGCAGCAAGGGAGGCTTAGGTTGGATATTAGGAAAAACTTTCTCGCTAGGAAAGTGGTGAAGCACCAGAACAGGTTACCTAGAGAGGTGGTGGAATCTACATCCTTGGAGGTTTTTAAGGCCTGGCTTGATAGAGCCTTGGCTGGAATGACCTAGTTGGGGATGGTCCTGCTTGAGCAGGGGGTTGGACTAAATGACCTCCTGAGGTCCTGTCCAAACCTAATTTTCTGTGATTCTGTCCATGTTCTTGCTTTCCTTATCATTCTGTGACAGTGTCAAGATTCTCTTGCTACTGTTTTTTTTTCTGAGATATTCCAGTAGTCCTAAGAGGCATTCTCCTGATATTATAATGTGCAGTTTATATTCTGTCCATTCAAAGTCTATGATTTTTGAATGCTAAAAGAGAAGTCATTAAAGCTGGTGAGCTTTTCAGTTAGTAAAAGGAGGAAGAGAAGCCTTAATATTCTTGACAAAAGGGGTGATCATGAGTTCTCTCTTTGTGGGATTTAAGTTCTCTGCCGAAAGTACTGGGATTGTCAGTTACTTGAGCGCCAAATAGAAATGGAGGATTAGGGAAAGTCCTGCTGCTGAGGCTTGTAGGTCTTGTATTGGAAAGGAAAGGACTTTAGGTTGGTCAAGCCCATTGTAATTGTTGTTTGAATGAACTTTGGATTTATAGGGAATTCATAGATTTCATAGATTTCATAGACATCAGGGCTGGAAGGGACCTCGGAAGATCATCGAGTCCAGCCCCCTGCCCAAAGGGCAGGAAGTCGGCTGGGGTCATAGGATCCCAGCAAGATAAGCATCCAGTTTCATCTTGAAGGTGTTCAATGAAGGCGCTTGAACCACCTCCGGTGGCAGGCTATTCCAGACCTTGGGGGCTCGGACAGTAAAGAAGTTCTTCCTTATGTCCAGCCTGAAACGATCTTGAAGTAGTTTGTGACCATTCGACCTCGTCATCCCTTGGGGCGCTCTGGTGAACAAACGTTCCCCCAGATGCTGGTGGTCACCCCTGATAAACTTGTAGGTGGCCATCAGATCACCCCTGAGCCTGCGCTTTTTCAGGCTAAAGAGCCCCAGGGCTCTCAGCCTGTCATCGTAGGGTCTGCTTCCCTGACCTCTGATCATGCACGTGGCTCTTCTCTGGACTCTCTCAAGCTTCTCCACATCCTTTTTGAATTGTGGAGCCCAAAACTGGACGCAGTACTCCAGCTGCGGCCTCACTAAGGCCAAGTACAGGGGGAGAATGACGTCCCGGGATTTGCTTGAGAAGCATCTATGGATGCAAGCCAGCGTTTTGGTCGCTTTACTAGCCGCTGCATTGCATTGCAGGCTCATGTTCATCTTGTGGTCAATGATGACCCCCAAGTCTCTTTCTTCCATAGTGCTAGCCAACATAGCACTGCCGAGCCTATAAGGATGCTGCGGGGTTTTTTTTCCCAAGGTGGAGAACCTTGCATTTATCGGCGTTGAATTAATTGATTAATTGTTGTCTGAAGGAGAGATCTTGTGTGTTCTTACATGGGTTTTAAAGATCCCACTGTACTACTGTAAAATAATTAGTGGTCTGACTCAGTACCCTTGGTTAAAATGCTGCACAAGCTCCTTCATCTATTCAACCCTTCCCCCTCCATCATTCTTGTGCATCATGCTCTTCCTTTGTTTGCTTGGCTGATGCCCCTCAGTAATGACTGCTCCTCAGTGGTGATATTTTTGCAGTTCCTGAACTGTATTAGGACCCTTCAGTATTAGAAGATGCTACTGAAATGTATTGTTAAAAGGCAAGCTGCCTCTAATGAAATTATTTTCATTGCTTTTATGGTACCTTACTCTTAAGTTTCTTTACATGCCTGTTTTAGCTTTTGAATGTCTAAAGGCTAATATTATTGTGTTTTGATTTCCAGGGGTAAAGAAATACGGATATCTTGTGTGCTTTCTCTGTGTGAATGTTTGTTTCTCCCTAAAAATTCAAATTATACTGCTAAAACTGCAGACGTTCAGGAATATGGTTTCAGCCGTATACTGCACAGCAAGCTTTGCTACGGAGTTAAATTGCTTGCTCAATTTTATTAAGCCACTCTGTTTGTTTTCTGGTTATCCAGGGAGTTATTTGTGGTTGCTTAAAGTTGACTGCATGCTATAATGATACCATCATGTACAGTCAAATGCATTTAGGATGAGAGTTCTGTGCAGGAGTTTTATCACTGAAGACCTTGTAATGAGTAAATTAGTTTGAAGACTTTGCATCTGGCAGCTCACCAAGGCTTAACAATTATACATGGAAACAAAATATATTTTCATTTAAAAAATAAAGGAAGATGATGTTGTGATATCAATGAGTTTCTCAAACAGAATTTTATAAGGACAAAATTAATATCTATATCAGAAAATGAGCAATGATTACTTGCTTTTCATGCCTATGTTGTTAAAAAATAGAATGAAACCTTAGAATATTTTAATCCGTTATCACATATAATACTGTAGAATTTCAATTTGAAGACCCTACTATGGTTCCAGACCACAAGGGTATGGGGACATAAGTATAGTAATGATACTGTCCTTGTTAGAAACATCCTGCTAGCCTGTAGGAATTCAGGGATAATGTTGCTAAAGGTACTAGAAGTTCAGAAATAGGTCCAAATATAGCAGGTTTGCTGCTGTACCCTTAAAGTACGTCATGTGAGTTTTCCAATGTCTGCTTCCATGTCCTAGGAAAGTGTAGCAGTCTCCTATCTGTGCCCCAACCTTCTAGGTCCTGGCACCTTTGGGCATACAGCTTAGCATTTTTCTAGTGCTTAGTTCTGCTTGCAGCATTGGAAGGGACTCACAAAATCTTCCCCCTCCCCTCCCAACCAGATTTCCAGAAGGTTCACTCAACTGTCCCCACAGGAGGTCACCCTACTGACTGACAGGGAACCAGGAGGCATGATGGCCCAGCTCCCAGACTCCTGGATCTCAAAAATCTGGGTTCTTGGTACTGAGATCCCCAGCTGGAGGGCAGCTTTCCAAGCAAACTCCTCCAGATGTAGAGCTCCCATTAAAGTTAGGCAGAAAACAGGAATTCCTTTTTTTGCGTGAATTTTTTAAAAGATGGTTTTCATGCCTGTTTAGAACCCTGGGAACTCAAAATCCTTTAGGAAACAGAATTGCTGATTTTTGTTCATATTTGAATTTGGAGTACCAAGCAACTGACCAAGGCTGGCAGCCATTTTCAGAGGCACCTTCAAGGTGTGTATTTCAGTCATGCTGAAAATATACTTTTCATGCTCTTTTGCTATTTTACTGCCAGTTATGAAATCTGCATTCCTTTAAGTGTATGAAAACCCTTTTTTTTAAATTCAAGAAGCTAGTTTTATAGCAAATTCTTTTCCAGAATTTTTTGACATCCATATTATGTGGTAATTAAATTTTATGATCCTAGCTGAATAATATTTTGATATAAGGCACTGTAAAGGGGATTTGAGATTATGCTGTTTGGCCAAAACAAAGGTAGTTCCTCTCTCTTCCCCCTCCCCTTTTCTCCACCTGCTTGCAGAAAGCTGTATTTCTTCAGACAAGCCTCATAATTACCCTTCTGTGCCTGATTTGGGCCTCCAGGAACGGCCCATAGCATCTGTAAAGCTGGCAGCAAAATGGTATTTCCAGGCAGGCAGAGTGCTGCAGGGTAGAGAGCCAATCCATGGCTTTGTCTGAGCAGCTGAGAACTTCATCTGAGTAATACCATGGTGTACAGTAACACAGACCTGTGCCATGAGCAAGTAAAGCACTGAGCAAGTGTTAGGGCCAATATTTATAGACCACTACGTAGCAGCCCTGGAGAGAGAGAAAGACATGCAGAGGAGAGTGAAAGAGAAATCATTGGCAGAACTGAAGGCACTTCTATTTAATATTTTTGTTTTTTAAATCAAACTCTTTTTTCATCGTCAGGTTAAAACTTCTCTTGGTGACTCGCAACAGTCTTGCTCCAAGCTATGAGAAGGGTGAAGCAACATTAAAACAAGAAGTTTGAAGGTAAGTAGTTATTCTAGTGTCACTTTTACCTCCAGAGTCCTTGTCTGTTTTTTAGCCTTTGAGGGCAGTGCATCAATCAACCAAGTCCTTGGGTACATTTTCTGGCTAATAAATAGCACTGCCCATTGTTTAAGAACATTTTATGGCAAATGGTAATTTTATGTACTATTATAGAGAAATATCATATTGATACTTCATTTAGCAACATGCTTGAAAATATCAGTTGCTGTTGGGGATATTGTAATCCAAGTTTACTGTCATTTCAAAGCAGAAACTAGTAGTTTGGGAATGAGAATCGTACTTATGACTAATGTGTTATTTGCTAATTTTTAAAGCATCGATTTCTCACAGAATCTGGATGCTACGAGTTGCACCTTAAGGTATACCAGTATCATCCTGCGTATGCCACCTTCCTTTTTCTGGGCAAAAGCAAACTGAAAATGTTGGATAAGCCCCATTCAGTGAACATTGTCTGCTGTTGTGTGGACGGCAAAAATCAGTCAGGGACAGCTATATTAGATATCTTGGGATGAACAAGATGGTAGCTAATAGGCTCAGAAATGTCACCAAAAATGCATATCCTTCAAGGAAGTTGAAAATCTACTGTTTGGGTGATGCTTAAACATATAACACACACCCTTTTGCAAGATGTTCTTTGATAGTAGAAAGGAAGTGAGTGATCATAACAACTATTATATACAAGGTGGGAGAAAGTTTGTCCTTCAGTTACTCTGGACAGGCAATTCTATACAGCATTTGAAAAATGAACTTCTTTTTCCATTACAAACAATATCTTACGAACAGTTTCCATCATGTGTACTGTCTGCTGAATTCATTAGTTGTCATTGTTTGCATGATTTAGGGGGAGAATTTTAAAACCTGGGTACCTAAAGAGAGGATATTTCTTCTCAAACTCATTCCTGAAGGCAAAAACATGTGCAATCTTTACAGTTTAACCTGTATGTTTACTGTGCTTAGCACAGAAAAGATTAATGTGTTGCTTAAAGAACATGGCATTTTCCTGAATAAAATTTATCAGTCGACAGCCCTGGAATTATTTCCTTAAGTTAAAAAAATATAGACTTTGGCACTATTTGAAAATTTTGGGGCTGAGTGGGAGGGTGGTTTGCAACTCCAGGAGTATTTAGATATACACGCTGACTCAGTGTTGAAAAAAGTGTGTTCAAATAACTTTAAGGTTGAAAATTTTAACAAATAAAGGAAATGCAGTGTTAGGATTCTGTAACTTGACCTGTTAACACCAACATTTTGCAACTGTTGGGAATGTAACATCAGCCACTGTCCACCGTGCTGAGACCTCCCAAACATTACACAATGAATTAAAGATGGAATAGCACCATTGAATATACATTTGCTTGTTTGGAAATTTGGATTTTTAAGTTGCAATGCTAGTTTAAATTTTATGTTTCTGTAAAAATAAGTTGGAAGGGAGGGGAAATGAGAATGGGGAAAATAATAACACCTCACACTTGAAGGAAAGCATGTTCAGTTAACAATGAACTATAATGATTTTCAAGAATTCCATTTAAGAAAGCAGGTTACAAGAGAGTATGTTAGAGAGAAAGATATATAGTTAATAATCATTTGCTCTTAGTTATACCAGATGCCATTGCCAGAGCATTCTGTATTTTGCACATGTTGACATCACATGTGGTAGAAACATTAAGAGGCTCTATTGGAAAATCTAGCAGAGAGGGGAGGAATATACTTGTAAAAAAAAAAAAGCAACAAACAAAATTAAAAGTACCATATTTACCTGAATACAAAACAACCCTGAATGTAAGACACCCCCCCCCCCCCCCCGGGTAATTAGATTTTACACATGGAAATGTTATATATTTTTTTTTATAATTTTCTGTTTATGGAATCTAATTATTGGAGGATCATCTTAAATTCCCCTCCCCCCTCACAGTTGGTGGGGGGAGAGGTGATGAAGGGGGCAGTAATGGGGCAGGCAGTGTGGAAGGCAGTAGAAGGGGAATGTGGTAGGGCAGATAGGAGGCCAGTAATGGCACAAGTAGTGGGCGGTGATGGGGGCGGGAAGTGGTAGAGGTTGGCAGTGGGCAAGGCAGTGAGAAGGGCAGGCAGTGAGAGAAGCAGGTAGGTTGCCCCCTGCTGCCTTCCCCCCCACCCCCTGCAGCCTGATGCTGCCCTGTTTCCTGCTACTCCTTCCTGCACAAGCTCCACACTGCAGTCTCAGGTCCCTATCCCCCACTTCTTCCCATCTCCCAGCTGCTACCAAGTCCTGCTGCTTTATCCCGGCTCTGTAGCAGCAATTACACAGAGCCAGCACTGCTTCTTTGGGGCTGTGGCACTGCTGGTTTCGCCAAGTCCCACTTCACTGACTTTGGACCACAGCCCAGGGCAAAGTAACCTGCGTGGGGCCCTCCCTCCCTTTCCCCTGGCACAGTTACACCAGGGAGTGAAAGCCCTGGCAGACCAGATGTGGCAGGAAGGGCAGTGGCCCGAACAGGCAAGGACGTCTCTCAGAAAACCGGCATATTTGAGTAACCGGCACACCCCATTCCCCATGGATGCCGGATAACACAGCTTTTACTGTATCATTTAGCCAGTTGTTCTTTGGTTGCAGTCAGCAAAAGCTGTCCTGGGCAGCGTGGAAGGCAGGACAACCTTAAGGTTACCCATGACAACTAATATATCATCATTGTCGGCAATCCCTCAATTTTAGGATGATCTCTACTGCAGCTCATAGGATCTCGAGGTGACTTGAGTCCAATCCTTGAGCCACAGATCCACCTGCAAAAGTTGCAGGCCATTCAACAGGGGAAAGTAGGCTGTAGGTTAAGATCCCTGTCCTTTTACTTCCTTTTCTTTCTCTTTTGTGCTTTAAGGGCAAGCCACTTTACCTCAAAACACACTGCTGTTTGGTTGAGATTGTGGTACCATTGGAGTCATTTGGCAGCCAGCTCCTCCCAACTCTTGATGTATTTTCTTGAGGTATACCTTCCAAATGTGCTTGTAGCATTTCCTCTGGCCACTGTGAGATTTCAGGCCATTACTGAACTGGGAGTAATTACTTGTTTTGAGAGTCGAGAGCCAGGCATCCACACACAGTGTCTAGTCCAACTCAATATTGCTGACATTGGCTTTCCCAAAAATGCTGGCATTTGTGCAGCAAGAGTAGGTAGAGGAGCTAGAGTAGGAAGAGTCAGAAACTCTACATGTGTGTAATGTGGTAGATGGGTTCTGGTTGGCTGATGTAGTGCAAGAGTAGATTCTTACCTGACAGAGTCTCTCAGAACACTTGTACGACTCTTAAGGGAGATTGCTTATTGAAATGGATGCGACAGAATGGGGTCAATCAGGATTAAAGTTTGCCTCCCACGGTTTTACCAAACTGATGGCAATGGGAGGACAGGGAAAGGAAAGGACTTTTTTGTAATGGCTGTGCTCCCACAGGCCTCTGCTGATCAGGGAATGAGCAGGAGAGTATAACATCTCCACATCACAATCTCCTCTTTTATTCTTTTGAAATAGACCCTCCTGCTCTCTGCTAATGCTGCATATATATTTATTTTATTGATAGAACTGTAGTATCCACTATAGGGAGTTTTGATGTGCTGTCATGGGCTGAGTCAGCATGCTCTGTTGCCTTCCCAACTCACCAAAACCCCATGTGGGGCTTTGGGCAGATCGCAGGCAGAGTTTGGGAGCAAAATGGGTGGTGGACGTCAATCTGCTCCCTGCCTGCTCTGCCCTGTGGGGGCGTGTATAAAGTTGTGCATGTATGTTGGGGGGGGGGGGGGGGGGGGGGG